ATCTCTAGAACAATTCAATGGGAACGATTGGAAGACGTTTTCTTTGCCTCATGATTTTTAAACCTACATTAATTTAAAAATTCTATTAACGAATTTAAAAGTCTAGGAGTCCTTTGGGCGGTTGAACATTGTAAAAACATCTCTAATTCTACATTTTTTCTTTCATAATTGTAGCATAGTTAATTCGCTTTAGATAGAAAAATTGGAGAAAAAAAAACTGAATTAATCCGTCCACTTCCGGTTTTCAAGTTTCTTTAGCATTTCTATTGTTATCCGAACATGAAAAAACTGTAAATAAATACCGTGAGAATTTGAAGTTTCCCGAACGTCCTTTGGATTTAGATATTTTATTTAATGTCAACTTAGTTGCACTCTTAAGCGAAAAAGATCCAATGTTGAGCCCTAGCGTGAGAGCACTTCCGAATAAACTCGAGTCGATTAATGCAAATTCTCCATATAGCCATCATTTTATACGTGATTTACACGAATTCGACGGATTGTTATACATGGATGGTAAATTCCTAATTCCTTTTACCCTGAGAAATGCCATAATGAAAACCCTCCAACAAGCACAACCCGGCCATCTCGGAGTGAAATACTTGGCTCAATGCATCTGGGGGCCCCTATAAACACACAGATTTATTTCCATGGATTAAAAGTTCTGAATGCACAAAAATGGGCGAGAATTTAAAAAGTGTCACTCCAAGTTCTCAAATTAGTAAACTTCCCTTTTTATTTGAACGTAACAAACAACACAACTTGGATTTCACCGGTCCTGCGGATTCCCACTAGGGCACAAACAAATTTATTTTATTATGCATCTACCGATTTTCAAAATTTCCATTGCCAAAACTTACTACATCCAAAAACATTGTAAAAAACAGCTGTCGAATTTCTTCAAGATTATATTTTCCTTCATGACATACCTGACTCCATTCGAGTAGATATCGTATCCTGTTTCGCAAGTCAGAATTTCAATTTATTTTGTGACTCGAGTAATTTAAAATTAATATTTTGTACCGTAGGAGACCATCGCTCCAACGGATTACTTGAAAAACTTGTAGATTTTGTAAAAAAAATTCAACTTTTGGCAAGGGTTCTATAACTTCAAAGGTATACATTAAAAGACGCTATTTCAAAAATTATCTGAAACCTTCGATCTTGTTATCAATCAAGAATTCAATGCTATCCAGTTGAAATGCTTTTCAATAGGAAGCCAAATACTATTTGGAAACAACTTGCATCTGGTGAACCTTTCAATGGATTTTTAGACAAGGGGAAATCAAATCATTACAAAGAAAAAACCCGGGACTGGAATGCTGACGATAGAGTGAAGGATGGATACAAGGATACCGTGATCCCTAAGAAGAACAAAACACCACTGGAACGAGAGCAACAATAAAATCACTTTTACAAAGACTTAAACCAAAAAAATTGTAAATACCTCTAATTCTACGGTAGAATTATCATCGGCAGAATTAGTTCAGACACTACACTTTCGGGCGCACACTCTCCTGCTTCAACTTATGAATCTCTAAAAATTGCTCTTGACAATTATGATGGGAATACGGACCTATACAGAGTTGAAAAACTTCATCAACTGTTTCAAGAACTGTTAATTTGAAACTTATTTTTTCTTACTTACCACTGTATTTGATGCTTTTTCTTATCATCAAATTGTTAACGCCACCAAATTCCGTACTTTTCGCTTACCTCTTATAATGTATTTTTGAGCAGTAAATTCAAATTTTTGTGTGTTAACATTCTTTCGGATCGGTGTCCTTTATTCAGCCTATTAATTAGATTTTCAGAAAATTAGCCGTCTGACTTACCTTATGGTGCTTATTTCAGTTACACAATTTCATTTCATGGAATTTAACTTTATGTAACATCTAATGCAGAATTTAATTGTCAGTCTTGATAATTTCATCCGTCGGATGTCAGTTTTTTTATCGCGCGTGGAATTGATATGTTTAACTGCAAAACTTAATTTCACTTGGTAAATTTTACATAAGCTTAATGCACAAATATGGTGCTTAATTTTTCAATTTCTCTCTCAGAGGGGAGAAAAGGAGCAGTTAGGTAGAGTTAGTTAGTTAATTTCACAATTTAAATTTTTTTTGCCCTGAGGAATGATGTGATTCATATTTAAATTTAATCTACTTTAGCTCATGATTGATCTAATTGTTATAACCGGTCATTTATGTTTGACCTTCACACTTTCTCACACTTTCTCACATTCTCTCCGGCGGACAAAATGCTTTCTCATTTTTTAATGTTTTAAGTTTCAGATTAATTCACTTTTATCCTTTTATTCTTTTAATTGTATAAAGTTATAAAGTAGAGTTAGCCGAAACAAAGTAACATTTTATCATTTCTCAAATACACAAATAATCTCCAGACCGTGAAAATAAACATCTAAGCGCGCCCCTGTCAAACAATTTTTCATGGGTAAATTGGCAATTCTGTAGATTAGCCAAATGCATTGTGTGATGAATTTTTTCACGCCTTAATTTAAATTCCTTTTACATCGCGCGTCTTTAATTGAATTTGCAAACTGAGTGTAATTTTTTCAGGTATAGCAGATCAGATAATCTATTTAAATTATAGCGGAAAGAGTAAACTTCTTCAAGTTTTCCGATGACGCGCAGCATCGAGATAATGTCAGTTAAACACTGAAAATCCGCAGTTTTGACGCATAAATCAATAGAGTACAAACTCAAAAGATAAACCAGGTAAACTGGTTTTTCTAAAAATGCAGATCTGCTTTCATTCGCCGGTGCAATCAGCGGTCAAAAGTTTCAAATGCAAATTCAGGTGAAATCCAAGGAGTTTTTAATGCGATTGTGTAGTTTGGCACAGATTTTGCAACCAAACGGATCTTGTTAATTATTTCCCTCCTTTTGCCAAAGGGAAGGAAAAAGTTAACAAGGTACAAAATTCGTATATGCTTAACTGTTCAATTTTTCTTTATAGGGGAGGGGGAGATTCGATACAAGTTACCATAGGGGGGGGGGGGATAATTAACAAGATCCCAACCAAACACTGGTTTTTTTATCCACACAAATTTTGAAATTTCAGATATCCTGGTCCAGGTTTTATGATTGATTCGAAACTCAGTATTATCAGGCTTTACAGTTCAAGGAGATTTTTCCGTAACCGACGTGACCCAGGTAAAAATATTCCGCAACCAGCTGAGGTGAAACTTTTTTAAAATTATGCGATTTGCATCAATCCAGGAAAAATTACCAAAGATCATAAATTAAGGGTTTTAACTTCACGTAGAATTAAAGTAAAAACCGTAACTGTTTATATTTGGCTAGGAAATTTTCAACTAAAAAAATGTTGGTTGAAAATCGTGGCGTTTTTGCCTTCAGATAAAATTATTTTACCATGTCAATTTACAGAAAAAAAATACAAATAAATCAGGGTGTTCATCTGATTTATTTATAATTGTTTTTTTTTTGTGTGTGAAAAAAAATTTGTCTGGTCTAGATTATGGACAAAAAGTGCACTTTTTTGGCAACGCTTTTTTCGAAAAACTTAAGTTTCAGCACAAAAGCGATTTGTTGAAAAGAAAAATTCCCTAGATTTGAGAGCTTCAATTTTTGAACAGCAGTTTTTCTGTTCATGAAAAAAATGCTTATCGTACAATTTTTTTAAACAAATAGCGTCAATTATATATGCGCTTTTCCATAAAATTTGGGCATGGATTTCTATTAAAAAAATCATTATTTATTTGTACCGTATGGAAATGTATGATGGCATTTACCATGTACAGAGGTAACTTTAAGCATATCTGCGCGCGAATTTGTAATCAAAACTGTTTTTCTTGAGTTTGCAAATCAAGAACAAACATCATTACAAATCTTTACAAATATCATTATTTGTTATTATCGCATTCAATCAAATAATCTCTGATATTTTTGGACATGAGCAGCCAAAAACGAGCTTTACTAAAATTTAAGTAAATAAGCTTTCAATAATAGTCGTATTAGTCGCTTTCAAAAAAAGTCCCCACCCCCCTCCCCCAATAGACCATGTTAAGGTCCTCTGCCCCAGCGTTGAATTTAAATTAAATTTGATAAGCGCTGCGAGTAAAGTTCCCTATTCTGATTGGCTGAAAATTCGAGCTCCGAACCAAGTTAACATCCTCCCCCTATACGGATTTGGGGGGAGGATGTTAACTTCGTCCTAATTTTTTCAGTCGGTTCTACTAAAACTAATTCTTGAACTTTTAAAATACTGACGTGCTGAGTTTGGGCGGTATACTGTACAAGTTTATTGTACGGTCGAAGCCATAGTATTAGAAAACAGCAATTTTGATCACTTTGAGTTAATTTTAATGTTCAAAATTTGCGGTATACTTTTAACACCAATAAATTTGGCCAAATTATTTTTGCATCTTTTGGTTGTTGGTACCAACCGTTTGTGCAATTTAATAAATACATGACAATAACAAAGATATGGAAACTGGGACCATATATTTAACATAAGCATTGACACGACCATTTACTAAAAATAAAGTTAAAATCCTCCCCCTGAATGGATTTGGGGGGGGGGGGATGTTAACTTCGTCCTAAATACTTATTAAATATTTATGTTTTTAAATTTGCAATGGCATACTTGGCCAAAATTATTATCGAGAAAAGGCCCCCGTATTTATCATTAAAAACCCCCACAAAGAGCTTAGAACTTAGAAATTTATGATTTTACATTCAATGTTTCTAAATTACTTTCAAATTAAATTTTTCTCGGCGAAATGAATATTGGGTAAAATTTTAATTATGACCTCATAGTTTTATCCACTTTTTTGAAATCAAAGGCAAATTAATTTTTTTCTTTTTTTTTGATAGCTTTCAGAATCTACCTTATTAGTTATTATCGAGGACGTGAAGTGCAAATATTTAATGAAAAGAAGTTTTTAGGAAAAACTTGGCATGAAAAACTAGAAATAGGCATACAAAGGCATGAAATAGGCATACAAAGCTTATTTTTTTATTTAATAAGTCTGCAACAAAAGTATGAACAAAATTTTGTTCCATTTTTTTAAAAATTACTTTGTAATTTTTCTCTACCTTTTCCAAGGACCAGCATTTACGCTCGCTGAAAATTTGTTGCACATGCCGAGGTTAACAATTTTTGCTGCCACCATTGGGTCTCGTAACGTGTATCTTGCGACTTTTTACTACCAAAAAAGTTTTGCGCAACTTTCCGATCCAAAAATGATTTGTTGCGAACTTTTGCCTACCAAAAAATATAGGTTGCAACCATCGCGACTCAAAGTAGATATACTTCGTCTTTGCGTGACCAAAATGTTTTACGCAACTTTAAGCGAATAAAAATGATACGTTGCGATAAAGCGCGACTTAATGAAATTTTTGTGGCAACTTTGCGCAACCGAACCGATGTATTTTGCAAGAATTTACGAGGCTTGAAAAAAATCCGTTTCATATTTTTCGGCCAAAATATTTCTGCGCAGTTTTCCTAGAACCTTGAGCGATCTATTGCAACCCAAATTGCAAGTTTTTGCAACCCATGATGCGACACTGCGCAATCCATTTTTGGCTATTTTTGACTTTGCGCGAGCCATGATGCAGCTCTGCGCGACTCAGGCCTCCAGTGGGAGCACGCGTTTTCGGAATTATTATGATTAAATTTGAAGTTTTATAAAAGAAGTGACAGGCTTGCAATGGATACCATAATTAAAATAAATGTCCAATAAGCTTTGCTGCGTCAATTTTTACTGAAATGACTCCTAACTTTTTGCTGATTATTTTGCTGTTTTGCAATTTTTTTTTTTCGAAAACTGACCTTCCGTTGAAATTTTACAATGCAACATTAATAGAAAAATTATAAAGACTATGATTATTAATCAAGCTGTTAGCAACTGGTTTGAAAAATTCTCGGATTAGTTTGTTAAATTTTCCGATGAAAAAGAAGATCAGCTTACTGAACTTGGTGATTTTGTTTCCATCAAAAAAATCTTCTGCTTGCCTATCAGTTTGAGACTTTTCTGTTATACGACCCAAAGTAATCAAACTATTAATTGAGCTTCTGTATTCATTGAAAGTCAAAATTTGTTTTCACTGATAAATTTTCAACCTATTAGATTCAAGCGTTTTGATCAAGCTTTCAAAATAGCAAAAAGATTAGTTCATGGGCCGTATAACAAAAAAACCAATCCAATTTTTTTGTTTACTTGGTTTTGAATTTAGCAACAAAAGGCGGCTGAAACTCATTTCCAGTATACTTGACTGGCGGATTAAATTTTGTTATGATGCAATGCGTACAAATTAAGCAAATTTTTGTTAACTTGGTCTACTTTGTTTTTGCTATAATTGATCTGAGCATCGCTTAGGAACCAATGGAACGAAGTAAATGATTCAATTGGAATTATTAAATTGCAATAAAGTTTCAAACTGCACACATCGGTTAACTAGTGCATTCTTTTTTTTTAGACTTTTGAGGTTTTTTTGTGCAGTCATTTTTCGGCGATCAAATTAAAAGTTTTCAAGAAACATTGCTTATACCCCATTAAAAATATTGACTCCTTGAAACTAAATATTAAAATATACTTTACCTCCGATCTTTTTTTGCAAACTTCTGGAAGTTTGAAAATTGAGAATTCGGTCATGCTCTGGACTCATTTATGCGAGCTTTGAAAATTTCCAAATGCTGTAACAAATAAATTATGCGTGGCCAAATATCCCCACGACAAAATCAAATTGAGGCTAGCTAAACGGTCGTTTTGATTCGGCACGACTCAGTGTTTTACACTTGATCTTTGATATGCCCAAAATTTTTGTTTTTCAATATTTTTTACCAGAAAATATTCGATATGGATTAAGGGGCAGTCGGAATTTTCAGGGTATTGCCTTGATACACGAGCAGTCTTGTTTTGTTGATAATATTACTTGAAAGTACAGTTTATTGGTGTTAATGCAGCTTAAGTGGCAACAGCTAAAAACGAGTGATAAAGCGGAGCCTTGTAATATCACCAATTCGAAAGTGTTATCTTCAAAATATTTTGAAAAGCATTTTTGACATTTCTTGTTCGGAAAAAATTTCTTGTGAGAAAGGCGCAACACAGGGGCTTCCTTGAATACCTACAAGCGCAAATCTAGTCTATCTCAAAAAAATATTTTGGATGCTTTTCTTAGGTCGACTAAATTGAATTTCTGAGCTCTCCCACTATAACGACCCAATATAGAACAGATTTGCAACACCACAGACAAATTTTTGAAACAGCCGGCCCAATCAAGTTTTTAGGGTCTTTCGCAAAATTTTGACAAAAGATAGTTTTGTTTGACGCACGCTGGTCACCTCTCACTTTTTGGGTGGCCAGGGGCCTGAAAATTTCATAAGTATCGAAAACATAGTTATGTTTTTGTTAATTTTGAAAGTTAAAAAATAAATTTAAAATTATCCTTAGACTTGAGGTGAAATATTCTTTACTTCTCTTCAACTAATTCAATTAAGATTGTTGAGTACAATTTCTCCATTTGAACTTTAATTAAAAACTATTGCTGAAAAAAAACTTCAAGTCAGTTATTGCTAATAAGTGCTCAAATTTTACTACATACTAATAAAATTGCTCGTGCAAAACCCTCAAAATTCCGACTACCAACGATTGTCAATTAACAACTTCTGCATAAAAAAATGATGAGATTTTGGAAATTTTGCTTTTTGTTTTATTTTTTTAATTTCATGCCACCACATGCTATACTGAGTACAAAGTGATACATTTTCTGCCTTGTAAAATATTTTTTGCGCCATTTCAATCTGAAAAGATTCAATTTGGCGACTATGTTTAAAAGAACAAAATATATCTCGCGTTAATTATACTTAATTAGACAAAGTAGTCCCAAATTCGGACTCTCATAAATTTACTACAGATAGTTGCCAGTGAAACTTTTAATCTCAAATGTTAACAGTCTTCGAGGCTAAAAAACGTTTGAGCCCAAGACATTAATATTTTTCAAATGGTCGACCTTTTTTTTAGATTGACCGAATTGATTTTTCGAGCTCTCCCTAAGCACGTTTTAGTCCCCGTTTTGGCCAAAGTTTCTGCGCCGCAGGCAAAATTTTGAAAAAACAGTTCAAAAAAGGCGTTTTTAGGCACTTTTTGGAAAATTTTGACCAAAAAATTGCGTTTTTTCGGCGCGCGTTTCCCCCTCAAAATTAGTATATATTGGTCGGTCGGCCAAAAACTTTATGGTCGGTCGGCCAAAAATGGATTTCTTAAAAAGTACCTTTGGGTCGGCAGGGGGTCAAATCCCTGAGAAGAGGGAGTCCGCACCCCCCCCCCCTAAATCCGCCCCTGCTAGCACGCCATTTGCTTTGAAAGTTGGACGGCAAGTTACTAATTGCAGAATTGATTTCAGTCTGCAGCTTATGGGAAGTTTTAAGTTTAAACATCCTCTAATTTGCTCATACTTTATAGTATCAAACAGGGCGATTTTTCAAATAAAATTGTATTGTCTCTGAAAATTGATAAAAATAATTAGGTAACGGGCATAAAAATTCTACAACTAACACTTTCGTTTAAAATATTATGAGCAGCAGTCTTGAGACAAACTCAAAAATATATATAACTGTTTTTTTTTAAGAACTTATAACATTTTGAACACCATAACCATAATACTATCTAATTGCGGTCGAGGTTTCAGTTTCAAAAGCATACTTTCTTAAGGTTTGCTGCTTTCAATTTCAAGGTTGTTTTTGTGAATCAAAACCAGCAGAGTGATCCAATACAGTGCATTGAAGACTAAAAAACACAGAGGAAAAAGAACTCTGGCTAAGTTGTTGATCATTCCGAAACATTGCGGCTGTTCGCTTTTGTCCGATTCTTTGTCCCGACTTTTTCGACAACTCCGTTTCGATTTCTTTCCATTTTCCATCTTTTCGATGTCTCGCAAAGCCGAATTGTTTTTCAAGACAGAATGGTCGTTATCATCGTCGTCGTCGTCACTTGAGAATGTCATAACTGTTTCTCGCATTTCCATCCGTGGGCTTTTCTTTTTCTTGGGCTCATTCTTCGGATTGTGGATTGTGAAATCGGACAGCGCGAACTCAAGCATGGCGAAGATTACGAATACGAAGCAAACCCACAAATACATATCAATTGCGGTAACTTTTCCATTGACGTGTTTCGCGTTTTGCGAGGTGCTCTGAGTCGCTAAAGTCAACATAGTCAAGACAGTGGTGACTCCCAAACTGGCTCTGGCAGGAGTTGCATGTAAATTGATCCAAAAAACCGTCCAGCTTAAAATCACAATCAACGCTGCTGGGAAGTAGACCTGCATGAGGTAGGCGGAGAACTTCCGCTTCAGATAGACGACAGTTTTCAAAGCCGAATACTTCGCATCTGCGTATGGAATGTCGTATTGCTGAATTGATTTGCCGAGCAGGTAGAATCCTAAATGATCGACGTTATTGTTCGTTTCGTCTATGTGAATCGCCTCGCCTTTCCAGCGATAGCTGACCTCGTTTGAAGTATAACCGAAACTTGACAACACCAGGGTGCAAGTTACAACATCAAAAGGGAATAAAATTACATTCGGCGAGCAAGGAGTTTTGAGTCGCACTTTTCTGTTGTACTCGACTGAACCGTTATTTGAGAAGACGACATACTGTTCCTCTGGACTGTAGAGCAAAGACCGAACTAGAAGAAAGTAGGTATCCGGATACCAAACGTTGTCGGGTAAAATCCGACCGGTGACTTTCAAGGGCTCGGCTCTCGGAGTTAATCTCGGATCATCCCAAAACTGAACGAGATAAAAATCCAGTGTTGTTTCGCTGGTGATTTCCCGCAAGCTTTCAACATGTATAAATACCTCGACATAACCACCCGAAATATTTCGTTTTCCGAGCTTCGGGTATTCGAATCGATTATACTGAGTGTCGTTAATTCGTAAGTTCAAGCGTTCGAAAGTGCAAATATAAACAGAAGGAATAATTAAGACCAAAATAATCTGTAAAATTATAGAATTAGACATTTTTCAAAATGTTAGTTTAGTCTGTCAAATTTAACAATTTTTTTTACATTCCAGACTAAAGGATGTTTTGGTTTAGGGTTAGGGGGAATTTTATTTTAAAAATCTATTAATGTTTAAGAATAAATGCAAAAACCCAATTAAAATGAAGATGACGGAATGTTGAATTCTTCAGATTTTGTGAAAGAAAGAAAATGAACTAATCAACGTTTACTTTTTCATGGAAACTTGAGCTGTAAAACAGTAATACTGGATATTGGGAATAAATCTTCAGAATGGCAAATGCTTCCTATTTCCACCGAGCTGAAACAAACATTATAGTTAATTCAGGGCCATATTACACTTAATTTTCAATCCTTACTTGGAATTACAGCCAAAATTTCATTAACTACTCTTAATCAAAAAAACTTATTGAACAATCGGCATTTAAAAGTAGTTGAAAACTTATGTTTTCAAAATCAAATGAATAATTTTTCTGTTTTTGGACGATCGAACGTGTTCGATCCGTGAATGGCCCTTGAAGAAAACTTGAAATCTAATTAAACCAAGAAAAAATAAATTACATTTTCAAGATTTTGCAATTGGCTGAAAATGTGTGAAAAGCTGTGGCGCTGTTTTTAAAAAAGAGAAATGAAAAGAGCGTAGCTCGCCAATTGCGTATCAATTGAACATTTCTAGCAGCTGACTAGCGATCTAACATACCAGAAAAGGCGATCTAACATAGAAAGCGTTTTAAAGTATAAAAGCATATATCATCAATTAACAAAAGCCGTTAAACTGAGAAGGTCGAGACGGGAAACCCGTAAAACAAGCCGTAATGGGGTTTTTTGTTTAAATCCTCATAAATAGATATATTTTGCAGCTCAAATTTCAAAATTGCGAAATTGAACCTTCTTTGGCCTTGTTACAGGGGTTGATATCCAAGCCATAACTGTAGAAATATCGGTAAAGATATAACCGAGTCTAGAGTATTATTTTATTTTTGAAAAAAAAAGATTATCGCGAAAATTTTATGTTATTTTTGATCATTAAAATGATAGATCAGGAAAATCAATTTTTTTATTTCATAAAGGGGATCAAAAAAATTCCGTCATTGAAAAAATTATTTAAGCCCCAGGAGCGAATTTTTGCAAATTTAGCTAAATCTGAATTGATAAGCTTTTAAAAAGTTTTTTTTCAATTTTTTTGACACAAAAGTTTTCGAAATTGGTATATAGTATCAGCAAGAGAACCACCAGAAAAGACTTGTTGATTCGCCAAAAAATGAAGCAAACTTTTCCAAATTTGTTTATTTTATCAGCAATAGTACCATCAGAAAAGATTGTTGTTGATTCGCCAAAAATGAGGCATGAAAATTTGAAGCCTTGGTGCAATCAAAGTGTCGAAAAGCATTAATTATTTGTGTTTGCTTAGCTTCTGTAAACTCACTTTTGATAGACGCAAGGTAAAGTATATATTGTACAGGTGTTTTTATTAGAATCGCTTAGCAAAAAATGATAAATTGGCATACTTCCAAACGAATTGGCGCCAGAACGCCTTTGATTGCAATTAGGGAAAATGTCAGAACAAAAAAACCTCATATAAAAATCATATTTTTTTAATGAGAGAACTAAAAAATAAAGCCATGTTCAGTCAAAATTTGTTCAGCTTACAAAAATTGCTCTTTCAGCTAATTCAATAGCTGGAACACTGTACCTATTGATTGTATTGATAAAAAATTGAACCGAATCAGAATTTTTGTAACAGAATTTTTAAACAACTCTGTTTCATCTCCTGCTTTTTTGAAGAAAATTAAAGGCTTCGTCAATTGAAGAAAAAATTATTGCTTTCGAAGCTCAAAATGAAACATATAACCACTTTTTCAGACAATTTTTTTCTTGGAAGGCAATAAGTTTTTGTTATTTTCAAACATATGTTTTTTGATGTTTATTTGAGAAAAATATTTGCCAATGATTGAAAAAAGTGTTGACAAAATATGGTGGTTTCTACAAGAATGAATCAGAAAATAATATAATTTCCTAATTTTGCAGCTTCTAAACACTTAAGTTTTGTTTGAAGTCATTTTGAAAAATTTATGAAAAAATTATGAAAATAAAAAGGCTATGATAATGCAAATAACCCAAATTTTTACAGAGAACATGACCGGCTAATATAATTAAAAACTCTCTGCTAGTCAAAATTGGTGGTTTAGGCAGGAGCGGATTTAAGGGGATTCGGGAGGGAGGGGCAAATGCCTTATTTCTTACATCCTCAGGGATTCGACCTCTCACAAACCAAAGCGTCCCCTCTTGGGTATAAATTTTTTACGTCAACTATGTGGCGATCAGCGTCAATATATTTCAGTTTTGAAGGAAAATGCGCACCGAAAATTATAACTTTTTGGTCAAAAAAATTTCAAAAAGTTTTCAAAAACGGCATGTTAGACATTGATTTTCAAAAAATTGACTGCGGTGCACAATTTTTTGTCAAAACAGGAAATAGGGTCTTCAAAGTATTATGGGAGTGCTCGGAAAGCCAATTTGGTTGACTTGAAACAATGTCGATAAATTTTTTTTTTAAATTGATAGTCGGTCCATTTCGATAAAATTCTAGATCCGCCTCTGTTTTTAGATTTCGTTGTAAAAGTTTCATAATAATATTACTTTTTTTTGCGCGAGGTTACCTTCAAGTTTAGAATAAAATAGAGGCAACGTTACTTATAGAAAGGTTTGTTCAGCGAAGAAGTTACTTCAAACAATGGATTCTAAGACTTTTAAAAATTCACAAAGTTTACAAGCTCAGATAACTTTCTCAAGAAATGGCCTGGTGAAAATGGCAAACACAAAGATTCCTTTGTCTCAACCGACAGTCAAACTACTAGTCAAAAATAATTTCAGTGCTGCTATTCATCATCCGAATGAAATGAAAAAACTACAAACTTTAAATCCGTTTTTGCCAGTTTGGGCTGACATAAGACTACGCTTTCGTTGCTTCGGGTAAATAGAGAAAAACTGGACGAAGGCAAGTGGTAACTGTGTCATAACTTATCACTGGCTTTCAAAGAGGGCAATTTTGCGAGCTGTTATGAATGCACGCCAAATATTCATGGGCGATCACTATCGGTTGAACACTTGAACAATCATTCTCCACATCAAATATTGAACCATCTGTATTCTACTATGATGTATGTATGATATATTTTCTTGCCCCAAAATTGTTTTTGTCCAAGATTCTTTCCCATGAAGTTAAGAATTCAAAAAACCAGAATTGTCTAATTTCAGTGCGCTTTATTCCAATTTTCAGCAAGCGTAACAAGCAAGCGGCAGGGCGATTTTCTCTGAAGTCACCTGAACCAATTCCCAACTGGATGCAAAATATATTCATGAGCCTGTGACTCCCTTAGAACTATGACTGCTCTTCAATTAGTCTCGAAATAGTTTCTCGTTTCATTTGAAACCCCCTCCCCTCACATGCCATTGTTTGTACTTAAACATCAGTTTAATAGAGTAAATCAATGATTTTATGAAACTGTATATGAGGAAAAAGTTTTCATATTTGCGTTATTAAACAATTTTAGGGCATTTGGACAATGTGATATAAGTTTAAAAAACACATGAAATGACATGTCAGTGGGAATCGATAGAATAGTCAAAATCTCTTTGGTTTAAATTGAAGTAATTTTCGGTTTTTATCAAGACTAAGCGTCCAACAAATAGTGTTCAATTTTAGGTGATCTAGTTTGCCTAGGAGTCTCAGTCCTTTTCACTGTTTAAGTATTTTTTCTCAATCGACAATTTGAACTAAAAATTTTGGTTAAATTTTGTGCTTAAAGTGAAAAACGATCACAATAGCAGCGAGGATAGCTGCTTTTGTGCAGGTAGGACAGGTTCCGACCATATTTCTAAAAAAGCTACATACGTTTGTTAAACCTTGGGTCTTTTTTTGATCGCGTGGTGATAAAAAGATCTAAAAAAAAGCCTATAACTTAGGCATACATGACTGACAAGAGGGGCGGATTTAAGATGGAGGAGGAGGCGGATGACATCATTTTTCCATCTCACAGATTCGAGACCCCCGCCAACCAAATGATGTAATTGGATATAATTTTATGACATCCGCTTTTTTCGATCAAAGCCAGTATATATTAATTTTTTAGGAGAGCGCGCGCCGTGAAACATGAACTTTCTGTCCAAACGTTTCAAAAAAGCAGATAAAAAACAATATTTGACCTTGTTTTTCAAAAAATCACCTGTGCCGCACAAATTTTTGCCAAATTAGGGTCTTGATAGTTTTTAAAAAGAATTCAAAAATCGGTCCCTCCTCGATAGAATCGTAGATCCGCCTCTGAATTAAGGTTTCGTTAAAAAAGTTATAAAATAAATTTATTTTAAGCACGCCAGGTTACCTTCAAACTTAGAATGTACTAGTGGCAAAGCTGTTTTATAGAAAGGTTTGTTCATCATTCAGCGAAAAAGTGAATTCAAACACTGGATCTTCACTTATTAAGAATTTCACAAAAAAATTCGCTATTATATTTCTTTCAAATAATGGCAAGCTGAAAAAAGGCAACGCAATAATTTTTTGCCTCAACCAAAAGTCAGTAATTGTCACACAAAAATACATTACTGATTCATATTATCCGGATAAAATGGAAGAATATGTAAGCTTTAAATCCGTTCTTCTCAATTTGGCGTGACATTTGAAAAAAAACTTACTTTTACTTGTATCAAAATTTAAGTATTCAATCTACTTTGAAAGATTAAAACCAAACGTCTTAACTCAAAATTTAAAATAAAATCCCCAGTACTAACTTAGAACGCAGAAAAAGGTTTTCTCAAATAAAAAATTTGGTATTTTGCATGATAAACTCATGATTGGCTAGCAGACCATTATATACCTGTATATACAACGTTAACCTGTTTGTACCCTGCTTAAATTTTGTTGGGTTATAAAAAGAATCGTTTTAAAATATTGGGGCCGATTTAGTTTGAGAAGAACGGGTTTGAAGTTTAAGATTTAATCATCTTCTCTGGGTATATCAAATCAGCACTATACCCACAGACATACAAACAATTAGAGACAGGTGAATATCAAGTTTACCAAGATTATAACCATGCTATCAGTTTTTCAAGTTTCAGGTAGTTTTCCGGTTAATTTTGCAAAGCATTGTTCAATTTTAAAAAAAAATACACTTAAAAATTTATTTTGATTGGGTTTAACGAATAATTCCATTTCAAAAATACCATAAAAGAACAGAATTTTCCAAATAATCATTTTTTTTTCTGTAAGGAATCATGCATTGACGAGTTAGATCGCCTAAAATT